ACAATAGGATCCCAAAAGACATGCAATTTGAAGGGTAACAGTCATGATTTCTAATTTTCCCATAACTGATAGATTGTCTTTGTGACAAAAGCAGAATTCATCTCTGAACCCCAGTTTGCTCATCTATATAATATGCATTGATTATTCGCTAAAAAATAAAATCTTTGTCGAAAAAGTATCAATGTTTCTCAAGTCTTGTTTTAAATTACTATTTAAATTAATTTTGTTATAGTTTGAAGTGATTTGACAGATAAAAATATTTCTATTTTTCTAGAGTATCATTGTGAATTTTTTCCAAAGGAATGTTGTTTTAGAACTATAATATTTGCATTCAAGAGCGATTGATACCATTGTGTTACTTATACTGATTATGTGGTAATTTTGGAAGCAGAGATTCTAACAGAATATAGTAAAAAACTCCTTTAGAATACAGAATTTCTAAAACTTGACTGCAGGTCAGTCTTTTACTTCTTCATTGCAGAGAATTTTGAAAAAACTCTATATTATCATGGATTTCTGATGATTGAATTATTGTTTGTTTCTGTGTGTGTGTGTGTGACTAAATCTCTTTTAATCATAGAATATGAGTTCTTTAAGGTCAGATATTCATTTTATCTGTAAGTATCTCACAATTATTTATTAAATGAATAGCTTACAACCATCAGAGAAATAAAACATTTTCTAGGAATATGACAACCCAAAATTCATTTACCTTTTAGCTGACATCGTAACTCCCTTTAAAAACTCCTTCCATAATCTATACTTTGTTCATAGTATGTCTTTCTGACCTATTGAAATCTTACCCATAGATAAAAATATAATTTTTATTAAATGAGATTTTAAATTAAAATTTTATAAATACATACCTTAATTTGATTTAAAAACCATCACAAACCTCCATCTCTTTAGAGTAACTAACATCTAATTTACTATTAGGCTGTTTTAACAATTGTATTTCATTTGAAATCTCCAAGACATTATAAAAGTCAACATTTTCTTCAGATATGATACTCAATATCACTTAAGAATATTTATAAACTGTATAGGCAGTAAATTATATTTGGAAATTGTAGTGTTTTTTTTTAAACAGCTGTTGATATATCTATAAATCTTTAAATATTCCAGCTATTACATTCATTGTTTGTAGTAACTAAATTGAATGATATCTAAGGGTATATCATATCAAGTAATTCTAGATTGGAACTTAAATTGCCAACTCCCTGAACCAAGCTAACTTGTGGAACTTTTCTATTAGAAATCAGGCAGTAGCTACCAACCGTAGTAAGTCTATTGAGTTTTAAAATGACTTCCTTTTGTAATACTGTTAATAATGTACTGAGAATTATTAAGTTATTTGACCTAGTTTAGCATTGCTAATATGACAGTTATACATTTTTGAGCATGTAACACTTATGTTCATACTAGTGGATACCTCATTTGTTTTAATTCTTTTCAAGTATTGTATGTAAACCATTTCATTCTAACTGCAAAATCTTTAACATAAAGAAAAAAATTAAATTGTGTCTATATTGTTTGATCAATTTCAAATGCCTATATCTGGTAATCTGAGCAACTCTTTTGAGGATAACAATATTCAATATAGCAACCATTGTTAAATTACTATCATCTTGTCTTGAAAACCTAATCACTATTTTTGGGGGTTTTTAATATTTAATTTAATTTTGTTCTAGTTTCTTTTGCTTGTTTTTTGTTTTTTCTCTGTTTTTCCTCTTTGAAATAAAAAAATAAAATTATTATACAAGAAAGGAAAAAGTTTACAAAATTAATAATACAAATTGATTTTGTCATTTGTTCAGTTTTTATCTTTTAATAATTGGCTGATGATTTGTCTACAAAAAGCCTACTTTAACAAAAGTATGCATGAGGAAAAGAAAAAATAGCATATATATATACATACATATATATAAAATATGTATAATATATATATATATATATATATATATACATATATGTATATATATAAATTCATTGAATCAAAATGAGATTAATACAAATTACCTTTGGCCACTACAATTATAAGAGATACTCAAAATGTTGGCCAGAAGCTTTCAGAAGTTTATTAATATGGCAAGGTGCTGGAGTATGTATGCAGTTTTTGGTGGATTCTCTCTATATTCAGTAGTTAGAAGAAATGGTAAGTCATGTAAAACTTTTTAGGAGTAGTTTGCAATTTGTAAATAAATTTAAATTTTTCAGAATGAGTAGAAAGAAAAAGAAAACCAATTTCTAAATTTTCAGTTTGAGCCTTAATTACTGCTTGCCAGTCTATCTGCGTTATAAACAAGAGGAGCTTAAATCAGTTCCTAGTAAAGATAACTGTTTGTGCTGTCATTGTTTGATGATCGTTTTTGTGTCTAGATTTTGTAACCTGAAAAACTATTTCTGAGATAACAATATGCATTATGTTAACTAGTGTTACTTCCCTACTTTTATTCTTTCTTGAAATTCTGTATAATTTCTATCCTTTTTTTTTTTTTTTTTGCTTTTTAAAAAGTTAGAAAAAGAATTTAACTTCATCTTTTAAAAATTAGAAATAGAATCGAACTGTATCTTTCCTTGACAATTCAGAAAATAATTCAGGATCATATCAGGTCCTTATGAGCATTAATTTTTTTTTTATTTTCAAAACAGTAATAAATTCAAGGAGGAAGTAGAGGAGAAATAAAAACAATTAAGCTGTCTTATGTACATGTACCAACTCACCATGATGAATATGATCAGTATGTATTCTAAATGTATAGTAATAAAAATTTTTGAAAATTAAAAAAAATTAAGAAATGGAATGGTGAGGTAATTCACAAGTATCTTTCTTTGATTGATTTGTTCTACAAATAAACGACAAAAATGCTTATTTTTGGTTGTAGTTTTCTTATTTCAGATCATAGCAACATTTCTAAAACTTTCACAGTTAGTGAAACACTGTATTAGTAACAAGGAAGAGAAACAATGGTGAGGATGAATGGGCAGGAAACAAGAGGTCTGTCTAAGAAACCTGGAGCATACACAGTGTCTTTTCCTACTGCTCTGCTGGCTAAGACAACATGAATCACAATTGATCTTTGTTGTCCCAAGATTTAACTTCAATTTTATTTCTGATTTAAAACAGAGTAACAATAGTATGAAGACCTTAAAATTATTTGAATGGAAAATAGTTATAAAGTCTGCCATTGTAGAAAGTGAATCAAACACAGACATATTTGCTATAATTACCAACAAAGCCTGACAGCCTAGGAAACAACTGGAAGAAAGTAGAAAAATGTAATAGTTACACTGCAAAAAGCTAGAATTCAAATTTCTACAAATTTTATGGTCAATAATTTAAATTTTCTATAATAATTTAAATATAATATTAAATTCAATTACGTTTTAGTTAACGTATTTTAGATTGCAACTTATTTTTGTCCACAACATTGGTAAATTAAAAGACAGTTGTACTGCAACTATTTTGAGAAAATAATAACACATACCATTTTGAAAATAGTTAAGCAATTGTAACTTTTGCACAGAATATTTATGGAACAGAAATCTGATGCACTAAAAAACTATTGGTTTTAATAAATATAGACATTATACCTATATAAATTAGTTGCTCCATTTAAACCAATCCTCCATGAGTCTTTGTTTGTTTGTTTGGGTGTTTTTGAATATTTTTCCTCCTATGTGTTCCTTCAGTTTTCTCTTATTTTAATAATTGTGTCCTGGAATATAACCTACAACAATGAGCATTTAAATAACATTTATTGCTATTTATGTTGATTATCTCAGTGTGAATTATGTGATTCTTGACAGCACTGAGCTTGTGTCTGACTGGCTTAGAAAGTGCACTCAGAACTAAAGAGAAAACATGTCAGTTTATCAGTTAATCACTTGACATCTTAAATCCAAGCATTCATAAACCTTTTCCTTTTAAAGCAAGATATTAGTTTCCTTTAATATAATTAAAGAGATGAACTAGCTGTTTTTATTAATAAAACCAGAAGTCAGAATATACGATTTTAATAAGAATAAGTTTATGTAAACCTATGACCTTTATCATACTTTATATTTTCACATATAAGATACTCACATTCTTTCTATTTGTGAGCCTAATTGCTTAAACAATAACCTGCTATATAACTTTCCAAGAAAATAGATTTAATACTTAAAATTTTATGAATCTTGAACTAATTTTCAAGTTCTAAATTGTGGCTAAGTTCTGCAAATCAACAGAACATAAGACTAAATATTGAAACCAAACTGTGCTTAATAATATAGAGTAATAAAATCTGAACTATATCCTTTTCTCGTCTTTTGGTGCTCTTGTCATCTATTACAATTGTTTTGTCACCATCTAAAGCAACTTGCTCCAAAGCATATTTATTTCTAATCAGCCACAGATATTATTTATATACCAACTTCAACTGATTTAGTTTCTATCACATTTTCAGGTAATTAATTTCATCTTTATAAACATTATCTCCACTTAATATTAAATGTATACTTTTATGGCAATAGATGGATAAATGTTGAAATTAATTAAGACAGAAAAGCTAGTGCTCATCCATTAAACCCACAATTAGTTGCTGAATATGCCTGCAGCTGGAAACAGAAGGCATACTATGTTAATTGTGGATCTGAAAAAGGAGGATAAAAGTACAAACTATGTCTGAATCTAACCTGAGTAGGGAAATTAGTTTTCCCTACTCAATTTTTCCACCTTAATTGTGACATGTAACCTTTCATTGTTCCTTGAATGTACTGTATCTTGTCAATTGTCTCTTTGAAGTAACAGTAGCTAGAAATAATGGAAACATATAAGTAATAACTGCCACACAGCAAGAGCATTCGAGTGCCTTGCCATGCTGATTTCATTTGTTAAGTCAATAAGCAGCGACAGTCACACTAGATTGCTTCCCTTAATGTGTTATAATGGGAGAAAAGGAAATTAGATATTTATAGTTAAATGGCTAGCAAGAAAACTACAGTTAGATATCACCTACCTCCAGTTAGAATGGTTCCAAATTTCAGAATCCAGCTGATTCCACAGCAGGTCTCATGGCACCCAGGACAGTGCCAGGGTGAACGTTCTCCTGGTCTTCCTGAATCCTCCCAACCTGCATGAATACCATTCTCCTAAGCTCACGGCACTGCTGGAGTTTGAGTCCCTGAAGACAAAGGCACTTCTGAGGCTAAGTAAAGCCTCAGACGATCAAATGGCCACATTCTTGATGTTGGAGCACCCACCATGCAGCTAGGAGTCAGCTTCACCATCCAGGGTCTGGTGCCATTCCCACTGCACAGACCCCGGCCCCTCAGCTCCTCTCCCTCCTTCACTGACACCATTCTCCCTTGGATGAAGCCCCAAATAAGGGCATCAGAAGTTCCCAGCCTCCCATTCACCTCTGCAGGAACCCTGCTCCCAGAAAACCCTGCCAATGTAGCCCTGGAACCCTCACCACCGTGGCCACTGCCAGTGATGGCAGGCAGGGCTGGGAGTGGGTAAGAAAGAGGATTCAGTCTGCCTTCAGTACGTGTGCTCTGCTGCCTACTGGCCTGGAAGAAGCACAAGGTCTCAAATGATAGTGGCTCCAATGTAAGTGCAGGACAGCAGAGACACGGACAAACTCCAGAAGACAGGTGGTCCAAAGATGCATCCTGTGTGTCATCTGTGTCTTGCTGATGTCATTCTCAGTTGTCACAATTGTAGGGATGGGAGAGGGGGATAGAGAGTGGAAGGAGCTGTAGGTCAAAGGAAACAGTTCCGGATGGACAGGAATCACTGAAAGATCTGCTGCAGAGCGGGGGAATGCTGACCACAGCCGAAAATGCTGCCTGGTGTTTCAAAGCGAGCATTCATTCCACATCTGCTACGTTTTAAGAGGAGATCTGGGAGAACGCATCCGGACCTACACAGACACAGGCTATTTGGCGACGTGGACTTAAATGACTGTACCAGGAACTGGGTAGGATATGGAGGCTCCAAGTGTGCCCAGCCTTCCCGGCCTGCAGGCCTCCGTCAGGTGCAGAAGTACCACCGTGGGATTTCAGTCAAAAGACACCTAGAGACATCTGGGTCCCGAAGGCCTGGCAAACCCCTCTGCCCTGTTCTCTGGCATTTCTACAGTGTCTCTGGGGTAGTGGAGATGATTCCTAAATGAACACTGCTCGGTGGTTTCTCCTATTCCCTGCACTTGTTTGAGCAGAGGGTGGTGATAACCTAGTCCTGTCCTGGGAGTTAGGGATGGAGAGTAACTTCTTTCAGAGTCTTGGCAAGGTCACCACAGCAACAAAAGACTGAAATATCTTTGAAAGGGACACAGCTCTGAGCTGTCTGCAGAGCACAAAGGAGGACTCTTGAATGACACAGTCATTGCCTGTTTTCCATTGTCACTTGCCCCTTGGGTGCTGCAAGCTTCCCTTTGTGCCTCTCTGGAGTCCCAACAGAAATAAGGAACATGTCTGGATGTGTTGGCAGGCAGGAAGTGGTGTGTGTATGGTCCCAGAGTCTTTTAGGAGTCACTCAGTTGTGTTGCTTGGTCCCTGACTGTATCAAGCATGGAGTGTGTCCTTTCCATGGTGATACTGTCTCTTTTAGAAAAGTACTGAGGGAAAGTCTAGGTGCCATCACAATTATACAGGGCCTGCCACTGGATTTACATCATGTGCCCAAGTGTTTCAGATTCTCTGCCCCACCCTGCAGAAGTCCCCAACTCACAGGCACTGAAGCTCCAGGTCACTGTGGAAACTCATAGATCAAAATCCCACCCAAAAGATGTGTCTTCATCTGACATGTAGCAAACAGCAGCTTCTCCTGAGGAGGCAAAAGACTCTAAATGAGACTAGCTGTGCCAGTCAGCTTTCCATCACTGTGACAAAATGCCTGACAATCAATTTAGAGAAAGGTTTAGTTTAACTCTTGGTTTGAGGCTTTGTTCAGTGGTCGGCTGTTTCCATTGTTTCAGGTCTGCATTGAAACTGAGCATCCTCATGGGAGCACCAGAGGGAGGGAGCTGCTTTGCTAATGCTGGCCAGGAAGCAAAGTATCAGTTTAACTCTCCAAAATCTCACTGCTTCAGAAAATTTAGAAGATTTCTGATCACTGAACCTCTGAGCCACCGTGGCAAGTTCTAATTAGTTACTTATTAAAATTACCAGCTCTCTGTAACTAGTCTGACTCATAACTTCTTTCATTCTCAGTGCTTCGATTAATAACTAAAAATGCACATGCTTAATGTGGCACAACAGTCAAAGTTAGTGTCACTTAGAAGCCACAGCCACTAAAGCCATTTTGTACAAACAAGTGAAGTGTAATATTCCAGGGAACACTGTTTCCTGGTTGCTGTCCACAAAGCTTTCAGAAATATCTATGAATTTATAGCTGCAAGGAATATGCTTACACAATCTATATTATCTGCCATATTTGAGATTATAAAAGAGTTTTGGCCCTTAGGGAGCTGCCATGAAATATATCGAGTAGTGTTAAGTGCTATGAAGAAATAGCAAGCTATCTTGGCAGGCAGAGTTTGAAGATGATTCTTTGGATTACGTAGAAGAGAAACTGCTCGTGTATCAAAGTGCTCTAGCAGATATTCTAAAAGAAGACTAAGTCAAACAAATATCTGTAATAACACAACTCAGCCACAAAATGAGAGGAAACTCAAAGGTCTGGAGGTCATAATGGGCTTCCTGCAATCTTGAGGTCTACAAAGAGCAATGGAATCCAATTTGGGCAGAGAGTACAAAAATGGATGAATCCTAAGTCCAAAAAGTGGTCTGAGCCATATGATACAGAGAGGGCCGTTGCTCCAAGTGACTATGGAATTTGATTTTGATGGGAACCTGGAGTGAAAAGAATGTTCTAATTAGAGTGTTTTGATTACAATGGCCTGACTTATCTAAGTCAGTATGTTATTCATAAAATACACTGTCGGAGCCATGTTATAAAATTGTTACATCAGTCTAGGATAAAAGTTATGGATGTTTGCTTCTGGTCTGTAGTAATGGAGAATATGAGAATTGTTGAATGTATATGTATGCCAGACAAATGTAAATGGAATATTTATGGAATAGCATTTGAAAGAGCGGCATTTAAAAAAGTGTCAGCAGTGATTACATGGTGTTTGATTTGAGCAACCGGGCAAATACCAATGTTTGTTGTTAAGATGCAGAACACTGGACAGGTTTGGTAGCTGAGCACTGACGCAAGGCAGTGACCTAAATTTGACTTGCCTCCTATACATGTATAAATGTCATGGAATAACCTGGTTATAGCAGTCTGGAGATCAACAGGGGTTGCAGGACTAGCGTTAGAAGAAGGTGCCATATTTCATAGTCAGTAGTGTCTACAAACACTGCATTACAGAGAATACTTAGAAGACTATACATCTCTTACTTAAGAAAAAGGTATACAGAGCTGAGTCCTTGAGGGTTTAGGATTAAACGTGCTTAAGAGGATAACGAAAAGAGTTCAATAATAGAAGAAGGGGACACATATCACGGTGTTCCCCACAATTGTTTATATTCTTTATGTGACAAAAGTAAAATAAAAATAAAGAGCAGCACATAAGTAGGACATAAAAATTTCTCAAAAATTTGAAAACTACTATATGACCTAGCTACCGCATTACTGTAGATGGAGCAGAAAAAGTAAAACCAGTATGTTGTGAAACAACTATCCTCCAGTGCTATTTGCTGCACTGTTAACAACGTTTGCTACACTGAATCCTCATGAATGTCCATCATTGTGTGAAAGAAGGAAATACGGCATGTAAGCACAGGCAGCGTTATTAGTTCACTAAAGATTCGGTCAGATGAAAATATGATTAATATGCAAGACACTGTGTGGAGTAAAATAATCAGACACAAAAATACAGGCTCTGCATGATCTCACTCTTACATAGAGACGAGGGTAGTGGTTAGCGGACACTGGGGAGGGAGGGGGAGATGAGAGAGCTTGGCTAACGGTTACTATGTTACAGTTAGACAGGATGCAAAAACTCTGCTGTTCTGTTGCACAGGAGCTTGACTCTGGTTGACCATATTGCATTATTTCAAAATAACTCAAAAAACATTTTGGGTGTTCTCACCCAGGGAAGAAACGATATACATGTAATAAACATTCTGATTTGGCAAATAATACTGGAATACTACAGTGTTTCCCACAAATGTATATATACATATGTTAAATACAAAATAAAAATAAAGAAGAGGACTTAAGCAGGAGCTAGAGGAAATTTGGATGAAGGGTGATTCATTTCTTTGTTTGAAAATGGGAGGCATTTCCACATGGTCTTGAGTTTTTGAGAATGATCCAGTAATGACAAAGGAACTGGTAACGAAAGGTGGGTGGGTTTCAGGAGGAGCTGAGTGGAGGCGCAGCTGGAAACGGGTGGGCCCACGCAGCACAGAGGGAGGCCGCCTGTGGAAGGGCAGCAGGCCAAGGTGGGAACAGTGCAGGAGGCAGAGTCCCAGCCCAGAACAGTGGTAACGCCGTAAGCGGATGAAGACCAACAATCTACTGATGCTTGTTTTATTCAGAGGATTAAGAAACAAGATGAGCAACCGAATATAAACAAGGGAGAGGAAGCTGAAGAAGCAAAGCCAATGTGTGGGTTAGTGGTCCCGAAGAGCAGGAGAATTCTATATGTTCTCGATATGTTACTAGAGTAACATACAAACATGTTAGTGGGTAGCACGAAGGGCTCACAAGCTCAAAGCTGAGAAAAGAAATACCTCAGTGGTGTTACCTGTGTTCATCAGCTTAGGAATAGATGCTAAGAATAAGATGATTCATTAAAGCAGACCTAAAGCTTTATTGTAGACATGAACATAAAATTTTAAAAAAATCTTATTTAGGGAAATATACATATTTTAATAGCTATAATAGTTCACTACCTAGAAAACAGGTTTTTGTGAGTGTAGTATTGTTCATGTTTATACTTTTGTGTGATTTCTTCCCAAGTAGTTTATAATGGTAGAAGGTCAATTAAAAGTTGAAATATTACAAAAACTCCAACTTGTTAATAATTCCACAATAGAATTATTTATCTAATATGGATTGCTAAAACATTCAATGCAGATTCAGTTTCCACGTATTCTTTTCTCTTGCCACAAGATCCAAATTTGTCCCCGAAAAACTTATACCTCAGTCTTGTTCTTTTAAAACATTTCTGTCCCCAAATTCTTTCATTAAAATATCCAATTAAATTAAAAGATGTAAAATAAATGAATTAGCTTCATGTATATGTGAGCCTTTATACATCTCTCTTTTTACATGTCTCTATTTACAAGCCATTGGCTTGTAATTATTCCATTGGCTCAATAATTATTTAAAAATTTTTAGTTCTCTCCCTAATATAGAAAGCATTTTCTTCACCACTTGGCTTTTATGGTAGTCTTATTTTTAAAAATGCCAATTGTTTAAGTGTCAACTGGATTTCACATTTACTATCACCTAAAATTTTAACATTCAGAATTTTGCTATGTATATTATAGTTGATTGAAGGTACTGCTTAAACAGTAGACATTTTCTTATATATATATATTAATAAGAAAGAGCTTTATAATGATCAGTAGGACTCTTATTAAGAGAGAGTTTTATTTAGGCAATAACACTGACGAATACAACAATTTTTCAACTTATCACATAGAAAAGGCACTGTGTATGTGTGTGCACAAATTTATTCCTCATGGTAAAACTACTGTGACTGTTATTACTG